TTTCTTTTTTCAGAATACTTCCCATCATTGGTTGAATCTAGTGATAAAGAACCAGCAGACAGGGTGGGCTAACTCTTACTTTTGTTGTAGCTTTTACCTTTCTTCTTGAATAATGATGGCTTTTTTTTTTTTTTGTTCCCCGGGTTGGACTTGGGTTCTTTTTGCTTTGGGGGCGGGGGTTGGACCCCTTGGGTTAATTTTCGGGCCTGATGACATTTTAAGCTTGCAGTTTTTTCTCTGAATATAGATTTGCTTCATGGAGTTAAATTGTCCCTTCTTTGCTTTGTAGGTATTTTTAAATTTTACTTTTCATTTCCTCTTTGATCGAAGGGTTACTGACGAATGTTTCTTAATTCCCCAAATTCTGTTGTGAGTTTTTCTCCAAGGGCTTGGCCACATTTTGTAAATGTTCCATGATTGTATGAAACACGAGCGTGTCCTCTCCCTGAGGTACGTAAAGACAGATGTTCATGGACCGGGTTAAATCCCATGCGCTCTGATTTACTTCTGTATGCCGGAGAGCCCTGACCTCCGTCTTGGCCTTTGAGGCAATTTTGAATTTAAGCTATGTCCTCTGGAGCGCAGTAAGTGCTTAAAGTAAACAAAGTCAGGGGAAAGGAGAAAAGAACACAGCAGGCTTCATGAAACTTCCTTCAAATAATCCGCTTGGAATTTTGGAGGGATTTGATGCTGGAACAGTTGCACGGTGGCACTGCCTTCTCCACGCCCAGTGCTGAGCCAGCCTGTTTGATGCTCAGAGCCAAGCCAAACCCTTTCTCCTGCAGTAGTTATCCAAGCAGCACACCCAGTGGAACAGTTCCAATAAACCTTCACACCCTGTGCTTACCCTGGTCTGACTCAAAAGCGCAGAAAGGTCATGGGCACATTGGGCTTGGAGGAAAGGTGTAGACCTGGACCAACTTGAGCCTCGGAACTCTGCACCAGGAGCCCCAGGGGAGTGGGCACGGCTGGGTGCTAAGGAGACACTCAGGGATCCGTGCTTTTTGAGCAGGTTTTCCTAAGGCACAGTTTCGGGAGTACATGGAAACTTCCGGGAAGTTTGGCCAAGTCTGCAGAAAGGCCACCCCTCACTCTCCCTGACCCTTTGTCCATGGAGAGTCCCCCCCGCCCCGCAACACCAGGGAGGCTCTCCCATTGTTTGGGTGCCAAACAGTGCCATGAACAGGGCGACACTCGCTGCTCTCATTGGGCTAAACCAGTGGGTGTCAGGGTGAGTCAGGGAAAACTTGGCTGAGGAAGAGGCAGTGGCCTAAATCCAGAAAAATCTGAAACAGAGAGGAAGGCAGCAGCCACAGGGTCAGGAGCTGCCCACACGCTGACAACCAGGGTCTCCGGACTGGCGGGGTGCAGTGAGATGGGGGGGTGAGGCAGCCTGGGCCAGATCCTGCTGGATTTCGTAAGCCACATTGGGAAAGGATTTAAGCACAGGATTTCACTGTAAACTCATATCTCAGGAAGCACCTCTGGGCTGGGAAGTGGAGGGGGGGTGGCCTGTGCCACGGGAGGAAGGTTGTTGCAGTAAATAAGCCAGGCAGGAAATAACTGGGGATTTGAGCAGAAATGGAAAGACACAGACTTGGGGTATGGTTTGAGGAAAAAGAAAGGACCCAGGAGCATTGATTTAATATAGAAATTCCAGAAAAGGGTATCCCGGGGGTGCTCCCAGGGGCCCAGTTTACGTAGCCAGGTGACCGGACATGTTACCAAGGTGGGGACATTGGAGGAAGAGCTGCATGTTTCCATCTATGACCATTTTCTCTCTCTCTCTCTTTCATTTTCTGACTCTTAAGAGTTTGTCGAATGTTAAGTGAATGCATGAGTGTCCCCTCAGGCCCTGTTTGGTTTGGGGTGCAGGTGACCTAGGTGGAGAGGCCATGTAGCCTGGGGCCTGCCTGTGTGCGCTGGGAATCATGGGAGTGGATTCAATTGGAGAAGGGACTGGGCCAAGCCCTGAGGAAAGCAGCACTTCAACCTTATGAAGGGTGACAGAGATGGAGACAGAGTGGCCAGAGAAGTGGGTAGAAAGTACCCCGGAAGCTCTCCAGAAAGAGCATGTGGCCTGCAGGGCTGGGTGGCACCGGAAGAAGAGTGTGCACCGGATCAACAACATGGAGGGCGCCATCTGTAAGCAAAGTTTGGTTGGGGTTTCAGGCGCAGAAGCCAAACAGCAAGGGTGAAGTTGAGTGGCGGGTCAAGTAGCAATAGTGTGACAGGGTGGCCGCAGAGTGGTGGCCCGGGACAGTGGCATCCCAAGGACAGCCCGTGGGAGTGGTAGCCCGGGTGCAGGCACAGGAACGAGTGTGTGGCCTGGAGCGGATTAAAAACAAGAACAAAACGAGACCTCAAAGCCGGTCTGCTTTTTATTATCACCATGCACTTGGCAATTCTAAACAAAATCTGCAGATTTTGTGTGGAGATAAAATTCTCCCCTTCAAAATCTTTGGTGAGTTTAAATTCCATCTAGTTTTAATCACATATAAGCTTCCAATTAGCACGTTCATAATACACAGCCTGTAATAAGCTCTGTGCACCAGATGGAAATGAATTCCAGGAGCTCCAGCCATGCATTGGTTGCCCAGCGCCCAGGAGTCAGCTGCACACTTTCACTCAGAGAGGACGAACATGGCGGCTGGGAATTATTCAAGCTCACTCAGGGCGCCGCACAAACCACCAGCCCTTGTGACAACACAACCTGGTGTGGAGGAAGCACGACTGAGTTCGGAAAGACAAAGCGATCGAACACAAGCATTTCTGTCCTCTTATTTAAGCACTTGGTGTTTACTTGTGTTTAAAAATATAAACAGCGAGAGCCAGGATGTAGCTCAGCAGCGCTGCGCCTGCCTGGCAAGTGCCAAGCACAAGGTCCTGAGTTCGATTCCTAGTACTGAAAAAAAAAATGTAAGCAGTGAGATAGCACAGACTATGAGGAAGAATCTTTGTATTTGGTAAGTGCAAAATTTTAAGTCACACATAAAATATAAAGAAAGTAGTTGTATCAGTGCTGTGATGTAGTATTTGCTGAAATTATAATTGTAACTTTTGCAGATATATTGATTTAAATAAACATGGGGCTATAAACAAAAAAATCAAAATGTAAACCATTAAGTAAATAGAAAAATATAAATAGAAAAAATATATTAAAAGATAAAGTAGCTGTACCCTCTTTTCTGCTATAATGCTTTTTAAATTTTTACTGGTGTGATCATGTGTTTTAAAAGTTCAATCAAAAATGTTTCACTTGGGCTGGGGATTTAGCTCAGTGGTTTTGCTGCCTGCTGCGCAAGCGCAAGGACCTGAGTTCAATCCCTGGTACCAAAAAAAAAAAAAAGTTTCACTTATGTCCTGGGGTTGAGGCTCAGTGGTAGAGCCCTTGCCTAGCATGGACAAGGTCCTGGGTTCGATGTTGGGTACCACAAAAATAAGAAAATACACAAATAAAATTTTACCACATTTCTTTTCCTATTGCTATTATTCATTTCATTCATTATTATTACATTATGAATAACTTTATGCCTTTAAATCTGACGATTCAGACAAAATGGAAACATTTCTTAAAAGACACAAATTACCTAAATTGATAAGAGAAATATAAAATCTGAATAGCTTGATAGCAAAGAAATTAAACATGTAATTAAAAACCTTCCCATGAAGTCCAAGCCCAGACAGCTTCCCTTGTGAATTCCATTAAACATTTAGGGGGAAAATCCGTATCAATCCTATACAAATCCTTTCAGAAAATAGAGGAGAAAGCATTTTCCAACTCATTTTCCCCGGTACCAAAAGCAGACAAATGCTTTATAAGTAGGCTAAAGACCAGTAACCTTCAGAGACATAGTAGAAGCAACATATCTTAACCAATTTTAAGCAAACAACTCAATAAGTCGTGCAACCCAATTGAAAACAAGCAAACATTTGTACAGACACTTCACAGAAGAATTATGCAAACAGCCAAGGAACATGCAGAATGGTTAAAATTACAACATTTGACAACAGCAAGCATTGGCAAGGATGTGGAGCCCCTGGGAGCCCTCACACGTTGCTGGTGGGAAGGTAAAGAGTACAACTACCTTAGAAGGCAACTTTTATTTATTTATTTTTTTTGCGGAACCAGGGATTGATCTCAGGACCTTGCACGTACCAGGCAGGGGCTGGTGCCACTGAGGTAAACCTCTGGCCCAAGGAAGACAACTTTCTCTAAGAGTTAAGCAGGCATCATCACATGCCCATTAGTCCCACTCCTTGGCATCTGGAGAACATGACCACACAGAAAGCTGCACACCCGTGCTTCCGCATAATCGCCAACAGCTAGAAACAACTCTAATGTCCATCAACAGGTGGATGTTGACCGTCATATAACATGAGACTGGACCAGCAATAAAAACAGACTACTCCCACACACAACTACATGGATGAATCTCGAAGTCCTGCCGAGGGACTGGAGGATGAGTGAAGCCAATCTAAACCTTAAAAAGACAGCTAAGTTGTGGGGAAGTCGGCATGGATGGGAGTGACTAGAAAGGATTCTCTCAGAGAGCTGTTGAAATAGTTGCCAGCAGGAGAAAATGAGGAGGGGCTACAGTAAGAAATGGAGAGCTAAGAAGAGTCATAAACGCGGATTAACCTGGTGCTTGGAGTGGGGTTGTCCAACTGGAAGAGAAGATGGGAAGGACAGGGAAGTCTTCATAGACTGAGGTGTTGCCTGGCCAGAGTCCATTCTCTCTTCTTCCAGAAATAGACCCCCAATTCCCTTTAGGGAACCGTCTCTCACCCACCCTCTGTCCTCATAGTTCATGCTGGGTTCCACCCCCATCCTAGGCCGATCAACAACCTGGTCTCCCTCAGGACTGTTTATATAGCATGCACATTTATGACTGTTGCGGGAGTGGTTATATGATCAGGCCTGGCCTATCGCTGGATACAGAAATTGGTTCCAGAGTGGACATTTGATCCAATCAGAGTGAAATAGGAAGTGGGCAGAAGTTATCAGAAGTCCAGAAGACAGGCTTTCTTTCTGCTGGCCTTGAACCGGAAGTAATAAGCCTGGAGCTGCCAGGAGCCGGTGTGTAGGGAGGGCAGTGCCAGAGCGAAGCAAACCAGAGACAGGCCAGCCTGCAAACTGAAGAGAGGCCAGGTCCTGGGGACATGGAGGAGCCACGAGGCTTTGGGTAAGCCTGTTCAGAAGGTTGTTTACTCATTGAGGTCACCTTCGACAGAAGGGCCTGACTGCTTGGTCAGAGGGAGGACAGGGAAGGTACAGAGGAGAGGTCCACAGGGACACACAGAACTTGGGGCCCTACAGCACCCAGACAGTGGCCAGAGGAGTTCACAGATGGACCTAAGACCTCTAAGAGGCCGAGGAGCCCGGGGAGGCCGAGGAGCACTTGGGGCTGTCTTGGGGAAAAGGCAGATGAAAGAGCAACCAGGGAGCCTGACAGGGGTGCCAGCTCTGCCCTTGTGTCGGTGGAGCAAGACAGAAGAGCAGCCAGTGGATTTGGAAACTCGGCATCACATTGGTGACCTTCTGCCCAGCTGCTCTGGGGGTGGTGGGCCGGAAGCCAGGCCTGGGGTGGAAATCTGACCCAAAGGTGAAGGTGGGAGTGTCCGCGTGTCTTTGAAACCTGACAGGAGAAGGAAGGAGGTTTTGGTTTTTTTCCTTTAGGTGTTTTTAAAACAGCAGGGAGCTGAGGATACTTGTCTAGAGGAGAGGGAGAGATCGGGGAAGAAGGAAATGGCATCCTAGAGGCAGAAACCACGTGCTTCAGAGGCTCAGCCGTGTATTTTGATGCATGAACCAGCATGTCCATAGCTTCGAGGTTCTGTCAGCCCACGAGGCCCCTGGAGTCTTGGGAGGAGGTAGAACCACGAAGTCCATGATGGAACGAGAGACATGTGTGTCTGGGGAGCTTTGCCTTGCCCCACTGAGGGAGGGGTGGGAGGTAAAGTACTGAAGGCCACTCACCTCCTTGGCATGGGTGGACAAGGGAGCTACAGGGTGCAGGTGGCCAGGGTGGATGTCTTTGCATAGTCATTGGCTTTTTCCCTTTTCTTTTTTCTTTTTGGCAGTCCTGGGGATTGAAGCCAAGACCTTCACACTGCTGTACACTCTCAGCCCTTTTTTGTTTTTATTTTGAGGCAAGGTCTTCCAAAGTCACCAAGTTACATGGGCTGGGCTAGAGCTTACAATCCTCCTGCCTCAGCCTTCCAGAGTTACGGGGTTACAGGTCTGCGTCACCAAGGTCATCGGCTCTTTGTGCCTTTTGAGAGTTTGCAGCGAAAGGCCTGGGGTGGCCCAGAGTCAGCAAAGCCATGGAGGGAATAGGAGTTGGCCACATGCAAAAGAAAGCGAGGCCACGCTGGACACGTTGCCTTGGCCTGCATGTTTCCTGCAGCCTTGAGGCAAAGACAAACTGCAAAACGGAGTGGTTGCAGGTCACCTTTGAGCTCCAAGCTCATCCCAAAGCTTCCCCTTTGGACAACTCTTCCCTGGAAGCAGAGCAACACGGCTCTTACGGTGTCCAAGCAGAGCAGCTGTCTCATAGATGTGCGATGCAAGTCAGGTGGGGGATTTGAAATGTTGAAGTCGGATTTTAAAAATGGGGAAACGAAATGGAAAATTAATTAATTAATTGCTATACATATATAATTTGCAGTGTTGGGAAGGGAACTCTCGGCCTTTGCACTGAGCTACATTCCCAGCCCTTTGTATTTTTTATTTGAGACAGGGTCTCACTCAGTTGCTTCGTTGCTCAGGCTGGGCTGGAACTTGTGACTGTCCTGCCTCAGCCTCCCCGAGTGCTGGGATTATATGTGTATGCCACCGTGCCCAGCTGAAATTCCTTTTAATAGTACATCGAATTCAGTATCAGCATCATCCAATGTGTAATCGCTGAGTGATCACTGCTGAGACAACTCTCTGTCCTTTCTACTCAGCCTTCAAAGCTGGTCGGGCTTGGCCAGTGTTAGAGCCCCGGAGCTGGCGGCTGCCATCCTGGAGCCAGTGTCACTGTCCCCCAGAAACCCTAAACACACTTTTGGACACATCTGGGTCCGGGCCCTTGCGGGACACGGCGCCTGCAGGGGACTTGACATGAAGACCCTGTTTCCAGAGCCTCCCCCTGCTCTAGGGCTGAGGAGCCCACCTTTGTCCTCATGGGCCAGCTCAGCCCCTGTTCCCTGCCCTGGCTGAGAAAAGCCAGCTGTGGCCAACACTGTGGCCCACGTGACGTGACTTCCCCACGTGGCCCGGGTCTCACAGCCTGTCCTCGAGTCTCGGAGGGCTGGGTGGAGCTGGTGTGAGAGAGCACAGACAACCTTCCCAGGGCTGGACGGAGCCAAACAGCAACTGCAGTGTTTGGTCAGACGCTGAGGGAGGTGCCCTCCGCCCGCGCCCTCCCGGGCCCCCAGCTTCTCCCTAAAGGCTGCTGTGCAGTCACACCTTCTGCTCAAGGGCCAGGGGCAGATCGATATCAGGGTGGAGCTCAGGTGGGCGGGTCAGGATGAGACTGGGTGGGGTGTCTGTGGGAACAGGGAACGAGTTCTGGAGAACAAGGGGTGGAGACAGAGAAGAGACTGGAGGACACTGGGCCTGTGGGCTCAATGTGGCCAGGAGGCAGTAGCTTGGGGAGAGGAAGTGGGGCTGCTCATGGGCAGTCCCGTCAGCAGTGACACATTGGCCCTGTCCCTTCCTCTCTCAAGGACTCCTGTGTGCCTTAGGGAGAATTAGTTAAGTCTCCATGGCCATGACATTTAGGGGCTTCTCTTGGTGCTTCCTCAGGGCCCTGGAGACCTGGGGCAGGGAGGGTCGCAGGAGGCCAGAGGGCCATGTGTTTGTCACTTGTCTGGGCTCCAGCAGCCTGGCTCTGTTTGCAAAACACCAAGATGAGATTAGGCAATTCTGCAAACAGAACCAAGGTCCTGGCCAGCTGCCCAGGGTGTTTAAAGTCCCGGGCACCAGGCAGGCAATGTGCACGTGGCCGCGCAGCTCAGAGCAGGCTGGGGAGGTGCAGGCGCAGGAGGCTGGAGCCTGACTGAGCAGAGGGTGCCCTTGGCCGGTCGGTCCCAGCCACCTTGGCACAGGCGTCAGTGGATATGAACTCGAGACAGCTGACAGCGGGTAACATCAATTATGTGCAGAACAGCAGAGGTATTAGGAGGAATGGGGACAGCCTATCCACTCTTTACCAGCTCACATGGTGACTGAGCCTAAGCTAATCTGGTGATCACACCGAGAGCATTCTCACAAATGACGGTAGGACGTTGGCAGCTCTTAGTGCTTTGACTCAATTGATCATCGTATTTTAAAATGTCAACTGAAGGAAAACAGGAATGGGACCCACTGTCTACAGAGTCTCCCCCAGCAGTGTTAGTGCCATCGTAAGTAAGCACAAAATAAGTACTTAGCGAAGGGGACTGGCAGGCTTGGCCCCAGCTCACCTCTTGGCTCCTCTGCCTACTGAGTGATCAAAAGGTCAGGCTGAAAGCCCTTTGGATTTTCTACGTGGAGCTCGGGAAACTTGTAGCTAGGAGATAAAAGGGAGTGGAAGTAGATTACATTGAATGTCGTTTGTTAAATGCTGTCTCCTGGCTTCTGTGTTTGTTTTTATTTATAGTTTATCTTTTTCCTCCTGCCCACTCCTGTTACCAAGGTCCCCTCCCTGGCTTCTTGTGCATTTTTCCAGAGATACACAACCAAGCACGTGCGTGTGTGCACACACACACACACACACAGATGGGTACACAAAGGCGCAGACAAACATACACACACATACACAGGACAGGCAGATAGACACGTAGAATCACACATTCACATAGACCCACACACAGGCACTTTATATCTAGGTAGGCAAATACATGTACATCTGTATATTCTCCCCTTTATTTTACTTGAATTTTAGCTTACTGCTTCCTTGCTCTTTTCACTTAACAATATTCTTTGGAAATCATTCCATATCAACACATAAATTGTTTCCTAATTTTCCTGGCTTGCGCACGGTTTCCATTGCACGGATAAACCTTATTTATTTTACCATTGCCTACCAGCAGTCACTTAGGTCAACTCCAGGCCTCTTGCTGTCACAAACAAAGCTGCGATGAGTCACGTTACCCAGGCCTGATTTGGCAACCTATCCATTAAAGTCCTAGAAAAAGAATTGCTCAATCCTCCCTGCATTTGTAATGTTGGTAAATATTGTCCAGTTACCTTGTGTGGCAGTCTCGTCAGTGTTGCTCGCCACCGGAAACGTTGGCCCAAGCGTGTCCTCACACCCTTCCTGAGAACATGTTTCAACAATGTTTTATTCTTTGCTAATTTGGGGAAAATGAGTATCTACGCGGGTGTGCGCTTCTGTTATGGGAAATGATGGTTAAGACTCCTGTGGTTTCAGTGTGTTTGTCTCCCAGGGGTTCGTGCTTTGAGGGCTTGGACTTCAGGGTGACAGTGGGGAACTGGGATGCTTTAGAAGCACAGACCTGTCACCCCAGCCCTCTGAGAGGCTGAGCCCTGAGGATCATGAGTTCCAATCTACCCAGGACAACTGAGCGAGACCCTGTCTCAGAATAGAAATGGTTTTTAAAGAGGCCTCAGTGCAAAGGCTCTGGGTTCAACCCTCAGTACTACACACACACACACACATACACACACACAAAGGTGCTAGGGCCTAATGTGAAGTCCTTAGATCCCTCGACACATGTCCTCAGAAGGGGTTGGCATAGTCCTCAAGGAAACCCGGATTTAGTTCTTCAGAGTGAGTTGCTATGGAAGCCAGAGCCTGACCCTGAGCTGTCCCACCCAGCTTCCTGTCTGGTGAGATGATCTCTCTCTTCCCCTCATGCCCCTTTCACGAAGCCCTCTGCCCTGACGCCTCACCCGTGTGGCACCTGATCTCGGACTCTCAGCCTCCAGAATGTGTTCCATAAACCTCTTTACTTCATAAGTCCCCTGCTTCAGGTATGTTGTTACAGTAATGAAAAATGGACTAAAACAAGAACCATTTCCTTTTCTGTAAACCAATTTGCTTTAACATTTTAAAAACTTCCTGTTATTTTGAAAGGCTGAAACACATCCCTGAATGTTAAAATCTCTATATGGGAATGTTCATACAGCAACACTTTTGGCCCAATCACTTATGGTGGGGCGGCTTCCCATGAGCCACTTCAGTTACTTGGG